CGGTTTGACCCTGGGTCGTCTGTATGTGGTGGGCGATGAGTGAAGGAATGAACCGGGAGCACTCTGCGGTCAAGGTGGTCCCCCCTCTGACCTTTGTTGAAGAGCTCTGCCTCGGCCTTGCTCTGGAATGGTCGGATCTCGATGAGGAGGCCCTGCTTGTAGAAGGTCTTGACTGGGGCGGGGACAGGGATCTCGTAGATGATGTAGCGGTACAAAATCACCAGCAACGCGACGACACGATGTGCGCCATCCCATCAGCTGGATGGCGTGAGCCACCTCACCCCTCTAGCCGACGAGATCCTCTGTCTGTGACCCAGTGCCGAGCGAAGTTGACCTCGTTCTTGACATCTCCAGTCACATCGCCCTCTCCCATAGGCAGCGCTGGGACCATCTTGTCTTGATGGCCTGGTCCCGGTCCTGCTGCCAGAGGCGCTGCACGTCGGCGCTGTCGATGTCATGTATGGCCATGTAGAACTGTCGCAGACATCCAGAGCAGTAGTCTGTGGTTGTCTTGTCTTCGACCAGCACGCCCAACATGCTGTCTGCACAGACACAGACAGACAGACAGAGAAATTTTGCTCATTTGACGCTTCTGGCTGCTCCTTCCTGGCTGCGTGTGTGGCCTTCCTGCGCGCCTCTCTCCGGCTGATCTGTGCGTCCTGCGCCGCTGTGCTCCTCCTTCGCACTTCTAAGCTCGCAGGATTTGCCGATCGGTGTGCTGGAGACTTTTTCTCATTGCAAGTGCGAATGAAGCCCTGGTATGCGTGGGGCTTGCGAAATTCGTATCGATGGAGAAGGGCGCTGGAGCGATGTTCCATTCGGCGCGGATCCAGCAGTGGCCAAGGTAAAGGATGAATGGAGAGAAACGTGCTTTGGTTGCTGCATTGGCATGAGTCTGGGGATCCCTCCTTGCCGTGTCATGACGGTCACTTGACGAGTGACTGAGTGAATGCTCACTCATGGCAAATCGCTGCGGCGCGACTCAAACACGTCGAATCTGTTGTCTGGACATCCCTCCCCACTCGACGCACATTACCCTCCCCACTCGCCCCTCCATCCCTATACTAATTGTGTCTACATACTAAGTATGGCTACATGGCCTCTAGCAGGTCGTCCTTGGCCGCCAGCAGGGAGCTGTGGTCCTTGTCGCTCAGATACTCTAGCAACCGACACACCTGCACCAAACACGCACACACCAACCGCAAGTGCACACACACACACACGCATCCCTCTCTCTCCGCGGACCTCTATGCATGTGTGTGCGTCGGTCGTTACGTCGATGATACCGGCCTCCCCACCACTGCCATCGACAGCCCGCCCACCATGCTGAGGACGGCCCAATGGGCGATCTGTGCCGTGCGTCGTCGTCGTCATCGGTCAGCGGCAGCCACTCGGCCAGCAGCCGCGCCGTGGCAGGCCGCACTGTGTCGACGGTCAGCTGTCTGCTGCGTGAAGGCAACCAACATACAGCTTGATCAGGGCGCAACAGGTGCAGTCAGTCGGCCGCCTGCATGCCGTCAACGCACACATGGGGTGGTGGGGATCGGCGTGGGGATCGGGTCCCCCGTCGTCTTTCGGGTGTCCTCCCTCGTCGGCTGCCTTTAGGCTTTTCTATAGGGTGGCCGGCTATGGTGACCACGTATTGGTGATGTGAGACACCCATGGCCGGCCACCTCGTGGCCAGTCAGGCCAGGATCACGGCCGTCTCCCAAGCGAAGCAACCGAGGAGGGTTGTCTGCAGTGATGCAGTGATGCAGTGATTCACTGAATAAATGAATAAATGAATGAATGAATGATCCATTGTTGACTGACAAGCAAGTACACAATCGTGTGACTCGAGAGAATGACAGAGTGATTCGTTCGTTCATGCCTTATCCAGCGGCACGTCCCATTGCAGAAATACTATCATTACACTGATGAGTGAGACCTCTAAAGAGGAGCAGAGCGATCACAGGAGTGCACGCTGAAGTCTGTTTTCACCTGAGAAAAAGTCCGTTTCAGGTGATAACGAATTGATCCCGTCAGGCATGCTTTCGCACCCCGCTCTGTTCTTTTGCAGCCACGCATGTGCTTCAGCTCGCCGTCCGTTGAGCGCCACACTCGGCCAGGCCCGTGTAAAAGCCGAAAGGTGCACAGTGTTCTGTGAGCTTTTCTTTGTGTGTCGTTGTCAAGTGCCAAGTCTCTTCTACAATAACTACGATTTCAGTTCTGTCAGTCGACCACATGGTGTGACTAACTAAAGAATACTAAAGAGTCGTCTGAGACACTCTGAGAGACGGCTTGTTGCGATGATTGGGGTTTGTCAGAGGGGGAAAAAGATGCTCTGCTCACTTGTGTAAAGTCCTACGTGCTAAACAAAGACCCAACAAGGAGAGAAAGTAGAGGTTTGACGGAAAACCGGCACTCTGATGATGCAACATGGAGGGCCCTTCTTAGGCCTGACACTGCCTCAGCTTCGAAATCCGTTCCCGAATTTTAGAGGAGCGAGATGTCTCCTTTCCGTGCATCGAAGTAATCCGAGCTCTATTACAGCATCCGTATACCCTTTCCTTGCATTCTTTGCTCCGTTTCGGTTAATTCATCCGTTGCGAACACGATCTCTTTTCTGATTATCCGTGAAGAAGTGATGACACCCCGTGCAAGCCTCCTCCTCTGCCACACATCTTTTGAAACGTCCCAAATGTGCCAAATAATATTTAAAAAACCGGCAAACCGCCGAGGAATATTTAAAAGAAGGCAAACAAATAAAACAACATTGAGGAGAAATTTTAAAAAAAATCCGATAAAGAAGGAACGCATTCTAAAAGCCGCAAAGCACACATTAGACAGACATAAGATTACACACAACACATAGAGACATACATAATTCATACAAACAGCCAGACAGTGTCGGCAGATGCACCACATGCATTCACAGAGACAGACAGTCGGGGCCTGTACGTACACGAACCAATCAATTTATCAACCAGTCAATCAATCAATCATTCAACCAATCAATCAACTGACTAGATAGGACACTGTCAGGGTGAATGTGTCTCGGTCGGTCGGCATACCGAGTACGCAGAGTGTTTCTCTCGCTCCACTTACAAATCCCAATTATCGCGTACAATTCTCAGACGGCTCCTCGTCAGTCACTTCATATTTAGCGCTTGCCGGCGCAAACCAGTGCCAATCGGAACAAGAAGGGCAACGGACGGCCATGCATTGTCTGTACACTGACACACCGTCGAACCATAACGTCTCACGATCGACTTTCGCTGCCACGTCTGTGTCTCAGCTCTCCATCTATCGCCGCAACAGTGCGACTCAAATTTATGCATGCAGGTAGCCACTAACGCATGTACTGTCATTCTTACACGAACAAGGAAAGAGAAATGTACTAGAGTGGGGAAGAAAAGGACTAGAGCTGTCGTGTGCATCCCCCGGCCCACCTACCGCCGTGGTTTCGAATCTCTGTCTGCCTCCCCTCCTTCCTCCCCCCCTCTGCCCTGTGTGTGTGTGTGCGGTGATGTGTGTGGCCCCCGTCTCTCTTGTCGTGCCAGGTGGCCTGTCTCTCTTCCCCTCCCCCCTCCCTGTCTCCATCCCCCCTCCCCCCTCCCCCTCCCCCAATAAGAAATGAGCTGCATGCACACCCTCCGTCGCCTCGTGTCTCAGTTTCATTGCCGGGTTGCCCCGTGTGATGTATGAGGATACGGGTTGCCCCGCGCTACGTGAGAATGCCGGGTCGCCCCGTATGCATGCAAGCGGTCCGTGGGCTTACGGATATCGAGAAGTGTGCCGTCCTCTTCGGTGCGCGCATGCTTCTCTCCGGTCGTCCGTGTAACTCGTGTGTTCTTCAGCAGGGACGTGGCTGTCGTGGAAAGGCTCTTCTATGAAGGAAATGTATCTGAGTGAGCACATGTGTTCTTTTGCTCGTCGCATGGATGGCGTGATCGAGGAGTAAGCATGAGGCGAATTCATGCTTTCTTGGCATGTACTCGCGCGTGCAAGGCCCCACTTTGTCTGTCTGCCCCTCCCCCGAGCACAACGAGTCTTCAGACGGCTTTCCAACTGCAATTTGTGCCAGTGTGCGACTCCCACCTATGAACATTGACCCATTGAAGCTTGTCTTTTGAAGCCCCCTCCCCCTTGAACGGGGGAGGGGGCGACATTGCATGATCCGCACAAACATCTGACTTCACATGATGTGCCTTCACTGCAATCACCCATCAAAAACAGTCGATTCTCGGCTTCTGTACAAGTCCTACCGCTAATGACTGAGTCCTCTTCATCCGCTCTCCCAGGATCCTTGCAAAATACACTGTCAGTCAAATCGTTGTGGCTCTTGCATCCTCCCTTTCTCCCTCCTACCCTAAACCTCAGCCTGGCCAATCGCGATCACTGGAAATTTGTGGTTGGTTGGTTACGGTAACGGGCTCTGGGAATGCCCCGCCCTCCGAGTCTTTTGCGAGTCCGATTCATGGACACTGGCCACGCACGATCACACTCCGCACGCCTTTGTGATCCTAAGCCTTTGCACGGTTTCACGGCAGCTACCCTGAACGCATCCTAGTGCCACTCCTCGGCTGGTCCTCGCGGCGCGTCCCGTGGGATCCCTTTTGTAGGCAGTCCAGTGAGATCCTTAGGGTAGCTAGTCTAGACCCTCCTCCCGAAACTTGCACCGTAAGTCCAACGGAGGGAATTGAACTCACGATGACCGGCTCACTATGACTCCGTGGGGTACCACTCGGCCATAGGAGCCGGCGTGGATAATGGACTTTGGTGCGAAATTTTGCCTGTTGTCCCTTCCCGATCGCCTCCCGTTACTCCTCTCGAAACCGTTCGTCGAGCCGCGTTCGCAGCGAGGCCCATGATGAGTTCGCTGTAAGTGTAAGTGGACTTGTGTAATGACTTGGACTTTTGCTGATGCATGTGCTGCGCTGTACGGACATGCCATCAAGGAGGGGCAACGCTTTTCATTGATCGATCAGACACAACCCACTCGCAACCGTTTTGATCTATGAATCAAAGAAGTCTGCTCACTCATGAGAAGTCTGAGTCACTTCTGAGTCACTCACTCCTCCTCAGCCTCATCCAGCTGTTGCTCATCCAAGTCGTCTATGTCATGGGGAGCACACCTCGCTCTCTCAAACTCCCCACTCAGATCGGTGTGCTGAAAAAGCCATCTGTGCACCCAGCGGGGCACCATCCTATTCGCATCTCCCTTCCCTGTCATGTCGAAACAACCAGGCGTCAGGATGGTTCTCTCTGAAATCCATTGCAAAGCTGGCTTGGCTTTGGCCTTGTCTTCCCCCACTGGCTTCCAATACATTGCCCTGTGCCCCTGAGTGACTTTCTGCCTGTCATGTCTCGGTGCAGTGAACCACCACACATACACCCAACGCTCCCCCTGGACCGAAAGGGGCGGCTCTGGGGCCCCCTTGGCGACGGAATCCTCTATTCTTGCGATGTAGAAGGGGGCATCGGCAGCGCTGGCGAGGATGAACTTCTTCAAAGGAGCCTGAAGCACCCGACTGCCCTCCCCTGCCTGCTCACTCGGCCCTGGCTCATGGTCAACAGCTGGCTGGCCGCCACCACCCAATGGGAAGAAGGCCTTCTTCTTGTCTCCTTTGCCGCCAATGTTGGGCTCTCGTTTCGCCTTCAAGGGGATGCCGGCGGCCGCCATGCTATGCTCCATGTCTTGCTGCATGGTGGCGTGTTGCAGCTCAGGCGGGCCGGCAGGCTGCAGGGGTGAGGGAGGAGGGAAGCTGAAATCACGAGGGAGACGAGGGTATGTCCCGTCGAGCAATGCAATGCCTTCCTTGACCTGAGCGAAGCAAGCAGCATATCGTTGCCCACAGCGACGTGCCAGCAATGCCGTCTTACATCGTCTGGCGTGGACATGAGAGATGTCCTCGAGTCTGTTGGAAGGCGCTCCATTGCTGACACAGCCTTCGCTTGTCTCTCCTCGCTCAGCCGCTGCTTGATGGGCCCAGGGGCAGGGGCGCCTTCAGGAATGGCGTCGATGAAGTGCTGTGGTGGCTGCCAATGCTCAGTGGTCATGTAGTCCTTGTACGTGATGAGGACCCGCTGGGGATGCAGCAAATCGCGTGACAACCTGAGACACACAAGAGCGTGCGGCAGAGAGACACATAGAGAAACGCAGTACCTGAAGGAGTTTGGGCCAGTGACGCCGTGCAGCACGGGAAGAATATTCGAGCCGTTCATCCATGTCACCCAATCCAGCACCGGGCTCCAATACGTGGCATGCACCTGAAAGTCAAAAACAGTCATCAATCGAAGTAATGCCGAGTCCTTCCTTGGTACCGTCCTGCCGTCGTTCCTGATTCCATTGGGGAACGCCTCAGTTGTGAGCTCGAGGAGCCGCTGTGTGGTGCTCCAGTGATGGGGCATGAGGAAACGCGAAAGGATAGAGTGGTGCCCATCCTTCGGGCCGTGAGTGTGGCCGACGATGAGGAAGTGCAGCTCGACGGACTCGAAGACGCCAAGAATGATGAGGATGGCACAATAACCTGACACACAAGCTCATAATCGACCGACATGCAGTGGAAAGTAGAGCCAGCGAGTGACCCCTTCTGCTTGCCAAGCACGTATTTGTTCTTGTTCTCAGCTGCAGTGTTGTCCAGCTGCAGCTTGAGCTGCGAGGGTCTCTCATCTTCCCCAAGCCCCTCCAGTGATGCCTTGAGCAGATCATTGAGCACGTCAACCACCATGCACGCTCCGTGAAGCTCTCTTGGGGGGATGAAGTGATATCCATGGCTAACACCCCAGACCGTCCACTGACAGGAAAATGCGCGCGTCTCCGCAGGCAGACTATTCTTGCTGCTTCTACGTACCCCCAGTGCTTTGAAGTGTGGGAACTCGATACCAGTCAGGGTCTTCGCAACAAGCTCTCTGCGCGGCATTTGATACATCTGCAATGACGCAAGAGAGAGAGAGGCACAATTCCGTCGCAGGTCTCTTAGCCTGACGTCTCACCTTCTGGTCTGCGCAATCCATGGTGACATAGAGCTCCGGAGGAGCAGGGCTCGACAAACAACGAGCTATCCATTTCATCTCCACCTTGCCTGCCATTGACAAACGCACAAGTTTGTGATGCATGTCACTTCGACAGCCTCGTCTACGATTTCTCATCTGGAACTCAAGGTGAGTAAAGAATGCCCTGAGAATGGCCTTCCTCTTGTCTGGCAGCCGGCAGTGCCGCAGCTCCCACTTGCACTCCTGACAGTAGTCGCACTTGGCGAATCTGTCCTGCTGGCGGAAGCGAATGTGCTTGCACTCGTCCATGTGAAGGCATTTGTAGAAGGTGTCGAGGTTTGGTGGCAGCGGCACCAGCCCTGGATGGTTCTCGCAGTGGACCTCAAATCACTTGAAAAACAGACACCGACAGGGAAACGGCATGTGTATCTGAGTTCAGAACAGGGTGCGAAAGACACAGATGCATTGCAAGAGAGAAATGCACTGCAAGATAGACAGCACACCTCGTTTTTGTCGGGCTGGGTCTCTCCAATGAGATCAGCATACGCGCAAATGGCAGCGCACATACGTGCCATCTGCCCACGGTCGCGTTGTAGTGCTCTCATGTTGACGGGCTCCAGTCCCTCTCGCGCGTTCTCGCGTGCGGATTGGAGTGTGGAGGCGCCAATGCCGTATGCAGCGCGATACGCTACGGAACAACACGGCTTGCCGGCGACGTGGTACTCGAACCGGGGCTGGATGAAAGAACCACTGCATACCTGCATACACCAACCAGGCTGCACTCAACACGACACAAAGGCTCTCTGAGGCCATTTCTCCTCACCATGTTGTCCGTCAGGTCGTCACGCAGAGTCGTGTGGCGGTCTGTCCAAGAGAAGTCGTTGACAGAGCTCCTCAGCTTGTACAGGTCATCGTACTTGAACTGCTTCATACACTCGCGGGAGCAGCAAGTGGTCCTGAGTGCCTTGTCAATCGCCTCTCTGCCGACCCTTTTGGTGCTGTGAGGGAGCGGCTCGCGAGCACCAACCCCCGCTGCTCTGCGATCAGCTTGTGGTGCTCCATTCGGACGCCGGTGCCTCTTGCCGTATTTCTCGCGGTTCTCGCTCAGGATGTCAGCCTTGCGTGGTCCGATGCGGCCAAAAAAGAAGACATCTGACTCCTCCGGCGCAGAAGGCTCCACAATGTCATCAGAACTCCTTTGCATCTCGCTGTGGTCCTTTTGCTTGCGAATTTACAAAGTCACTGTGGGGGAGTCTCAGACTGGACGGGTTTCAACTTAACTTAAAATGGTTTCCGTGTGTGATAATCGTGTGTAGCGGCCCATCATCATCATGATGCAGCATCCAACGAGCGTTGATTATCGCCTCCAAGGCTTCAAGTCGCCTGTCGAAGAGGGATCGGATGTCATCAACGTCGCCGACAACAAGGCCTTCCTCCGTGCGCTGCACTGCATTGCCGTCCAGAAGGGCCTCCTCGCAGTGGACGAGGAGGCCTTCGGAGGCAAACTGCAGCGCGGCATCGCAAACTTGACCAGGGAGGTCATGCGCTGCGGGAATGACGTAGAGGGAATCGTGAGCGCCATGAACCTGTCCATGCACGGTAAGAAGGACGCATGCGGTCTTTACCGCCATCTACACCCTTGTTCCTCTTGCCTTGCCCTGTTTCAGACACCTGGCGTCCTCGCAGGGGCGCCAGAGTCAACGAGTTTATCGTAAGGATCGTGCAGCATCCAAGCGAATGGCACGATGGCGCGGATGGATGGAAGAACGGGGAGCTCGGGCTCGGGTGGTTGTGGATGGAGGCGGACATCACCATCATCCGAGCAATGCCCGACGCCCTTCAAGAGGACTGCATCAAGTCCATTCAAGTGAGAGACCTGTGAAGGGGACGGGATGGTGGCCATGACGAATGCTGCACTCATCCTGTCAATGTTCTGCAGGTTTGGGATGGCCAGCTCATCCTCACGGCGTTGTTCGTCACACTACACAACCTGATCATCAAGCGAGGACCGGACGACAAGCTGTTCCTGCAGCTGCTGGAGGAGGCGTGCAATCTGAAGGTCAAGCTCTTGAGCAGCATCGATGCAGACCTCAGGAACAAGACCATGGGTACGCAGAGCACGCACGAGACACGTTTCCCTAGCAGCTCTGTCAGTCAGCCACTGATGAAGGACACAGACAGAGAGCAGGCAGGGTGGAATCCATGTATGTGTCGTGTGTGATTCAAGCGTCATCGAGACAGGACGCCAGCTTCCACAGACTGATCCGTAGTCGGCCGCGACCAAGGATTTCGACAGAGGGGGTGCTTCTTTCGGCCCTCAGCCAGCCAGCCACTCATACTCTCATCCTTAGTCACCCGCGACTAAGGATTCCGACAGAGGGGGTGCTGCCTTCGGCCCTCAGCCAGCCACTCATACTCTCATCCTTAGTCACCCGCGACTAAGGATTCCGACAGAGGGGGTGCTTTATGTGGATTGGGTGATTCGAAAACTCAAAGTTCGACAGCCGAATCACCCTAGTCGCACGCGACTAGGGTGATTCAGCCTGTATACATGATGATTTCCGTGGTGTGGCAGTTGTGAGACATCTCGACATCATCGGACCGGACACACGGACGAGGGAGGTGAGCCCGACTCGCCGCCCTGGTCATTGCAGGGTGTCCTGCAGTGCTGCTCGCTTCGTCCGAATGAATGCCTTGTGTGTTCATGAGGACGCCGAATGAATGAATGACCACCTGCTTGGTTCGTTCCACGTGCGTCGCGTTGCGTGTTCGCTGCCGCTGCTGTTTTCGTGTGTCTCT